ATATATATATATATAATTGTAATACTGTATTTAGTAGTAATATTACATACATAACTCTAAGACTGTATCTAGAGTTATATACTACATATATAATTCTAACACAATATCTAGAGTAATATTATATGCACAATTGTAAGACCGTTTCTAGAGTAATATTAAATACATAACTCTAAGACCATATCTAGGACAATATTACATACATAACTATGAGGCAATATCCATAGTAATATACCATACATAACTCTAAGACCATATTCAGAGTAATCATATCTGCATGACTCGAAGACCAAGTTTACGTTCATATTATACACATAATTCCGAAACCACTTTCAAGGAAGTAGTACATATTCTAAGTGGAAGTAAAGAAGAATACGTTATAATATGTTAACAACTATGATAAGACAGGCATATTAGTGTTCAGACATACATCACAGAGCTACAACACCCACGAAATATACAATTCACAATTTCAACGCACCCGCCGAAAATTCAATTTTTTAAAATTTTATTCAATTTTCAATCAAAATTATTCACAAAAAAATTAATGATTTTAATTATCATATGTCTTATATATGTATAAAATTCTAAATAATTTTTATGAAGCGTAATATTTTGTTATTCATTCATATGACACTCTTAATTGCAGAATATATTCAAAGATCTTAGAATTTTTCCAGAGGCTTAGTATGTAAAAAAACATAAACGCAGCTGAAATTTAAATACTGTCGTGGATTATATTACTTAAATTAAAAAGTCTAGATGCGTTCATTATACTACATATAAACAGATATAAACATATACACCAGATATAAACAGATAGTGAAAACGAAGTATTTGATTAACCAAAGGTGCTCACAAATTTTAAGAATAATTTTGGTCTGCGAACGCATCAAAGAAATATTCTGACATTATGTGAACACCAGGAGATTTAGATGGTTATACAAGTTTTACGTATGCTGATAAACATACATCAGCTCCTGCACTAATAATAAGTCGTTGTTTTTTGTTCTGTTTTAAGAAGAGTTATATTTTATTCCTAGAGGTAACGAAAATTGAAATATGTATTGAAATGGAAATTAGTTACGGTGTGTGTATGTGCTTCTTGGAATAAAAGAAATCATTGTTATATGTGTTGCTCATACCAGAATATGGTTATTTATGATTTACGAAAGCCGTACATATTGTATATGTTTTTCATGTTGTTCTTCATGTCATGTAGAATAGATTATTTCAAAAATTATAACATAGGTTCAGCTTGGAAATATCTTGGGAAAATAAATATCAAAGTTATTTCTCTTTTCTGTCTTTCCAAAAAATAAGCTAAGTGATCCTTGTTTTTCCTTACTATAGATTGATATAGATGCGTTAGTAATTCAAGTATTTTTACGCGAAGCTTAGAGTGAGAAGTTCGGAAGTTATTTATATAGAAATGATACTTTTTTTTTTACTCGTAATATATGTATAAGAAATAACAGTATGTTTTATAACTTCGAGGAATTTTATCAGCGTTGTCTCGAATCTATACTTTCAGTAAAACATACTGGTCTTTCGGGCCAGAAGACCATATATTATTGAAAGTTCACACTCACACATATATCGTACAAATATATTGTACACAATGTCAAACAGGTGTTGAAGAAGAAAAAAAAAGTTAAAACGCATTATATATTTGTATATGTGTAAAGAAGTTATGTACGTTATATTAAAACGATTTTGGAATTTTGCCACATGGTTAAAGTTTGATGGTGAATTAAAGTAAATAACACTGCCATAGAGAAATCTGGAATTAGCCCATGGCTAAGCATACGCTTTCAGTGAGTCAGTAGTAGATAATTACGATAATTTTGTAAACTGGATTCTCATTTTCCACCTTCTTTAGACGCTGAGCCAGATTTTAGTTTCAATGTATGAGCATTCTGTTCACAATTGTAAAATGACAAAGGACCGGGAACAAATATTGAATCATATAGCATTACTAATGGGATTGAATTATCGTTTATAACATAGAGTTGGTTAGCTATTAATGGAATCCAAATTTAATTCCCTTCAATAATAGCAGTATTTCATCAGCACAAACTATATTAAACAGGTAATAAAGTAAATGAAATCGTTAACTAGAAAATCTACATTAACGAGAAGTAGTTCTGTTCTTTTATACTTGGTGTACAAAGTTTGATAAAAAATTAAAACACATTATATATATATATTCCATTGTAAAAAGCTCTGTCTTAAGACTCTCTTGTCTAAAGCATACCACTTTTACCTGTTTGCTTTCGATATCTATCTCGTATTACCAGTGCCTGTTTCAATAGTACAATCACTCAGAAATCCATAGACCCAGTGTCCGGCGACGTGACAGATATGTCTTAGTACAGAATAATAGCATGAACAACCGCTGCTTGAGTATGCGATGGTTGAACGTGAGTTATGACTGGAAGCATTATCTTAGTGACTATGACTGAGGGTACGACTTGTTGCAGGTCTCTTTCTGGATGGTACTATATTCTCATGTTGATCCATATTTCATTGTTGTCCAGTGCTATTAAGTACAAGAGATATGCTTGTTTTGGAAATTCTAAAATCACGATCTGAACACATGTTTATGATTTGAGTGTATGAATCTTTTTGCGTCGGAAAGGTATGCGTATTATACACCCTTCCCAATAACACTCAATTATCGATGGCATTACATTATATACGAAACGCTAAGCAATGTCCAAATGTAGATCTGAAATATGCCATCCCATCGCGACTTTACATAAACTGTGTTTTTCAAATGATTTGTTGATTTGCATAATCAAAATAGTTGTAATGTAACGAACCCTCTGTAGAAAGATATATTTATACATACAGACAGTTTCAAGATAATATATAGTGTTTAGTTATTTGTTATTTAATTACGTTGTTTTTCAGATTATACTCTAAACAATGTACTCAGTCACTTAACTTGTCAAATTATACTCTAAACAATGTACTCAGTCACTTAACTTGTCAGATTATACTTTAAACAATGTACTCAGTCACTTAACTTGTCAGATTATACTCTAAACTATGTACTCAGTCACTTAACTTGTCAGATTATACTCTAAACAATGTACTCAGTCACTTAACTTGTCAGATTATACTCTAAACAATGTACTCAGTCACTTAACTTGTCAGATTATACTCTAAACAATGTACTCAGTCACTTAACTGCTACCTACTTTTCAGAAGAAAAAATAATTTAGACTTGAGAACTGTTCTTTTATGCATATTGATCAGCCCTTTAGCACATACCACACATAAAATGGCCAATTTCTCGCGTTAAATAAAGATAGCTGAAAAGTTTGGTTTGTTTTGAATTTCGCGCAAAGCTACACGAGGGCTATCTGCCTAATTTAACAGTGTAAGACTAGAGTGAAGGCAGCTAGTCTTCACCACCCACCGCCAACTCTTGGGCTACTCTTTTACCAACGAACAGTGGGATTGACCGTCACATTATAACGCCCCCACGGCTGAAAGGGCGAGCATGTTTGGTGAGACGGGGATTCGCAGATTGCGAGTCGAGCGCCCTAACCACCTGGCCATGCCGGGCCTAGCTGAAAAGTAAAAAGGGATTTTCTATACATATGACGTATAATATAAGCTCTGAAAATAGAAATATTTAAATGCATTTAATATCTAATTACTCTGCATGTACCTAACTATATACAGTCAACATAGAGAAAACTGTCTGAAAATTCAATCCTGTCAGTCAGAGGTTTCCAGTCGCCCGTTTAAAACACATTCTGATGATAAGCATTATCTGTTCGAAATGCATCATGGTGTTGTTCTTGAAATTTTTTGGCGTAATTTTTCACACAAGTCTAGTAGAATAGTCACTAAAAATACATTAAGAAAGAAACTTATATTGGGTGATTTTTTTTAGTGATTGCACGAAACAACCAAA